AACGTTGGGGTGGATGGTTGTAGAAGCATATAAGTGAGTTTAATTTGAAAACGGCAGGGAAAAATCACATGGTCATGTGGTCCAAATTTGAGACATAAGTCAAGAAAGGATCACATGAGAGAACTAGAGTTGGTATGTTTGTAATTGTAGCCCTCTCTCTCTCTCGTTTGTTCTGTTCCCTATTATGACAATAGGCATTAAAGTCATTTGTTCCATTAGGATCAGTAGAATGTTACAGAATTTATGTATTATATGCTCCTCCCTCTCATTTGTTTCTTCTACATTTCATGAGGATCTACCGGTTATTTCTTTGTTAACCATAATTTTCTTAATCTTGTGGTTAATCGAATTTATGATTTGATCTGCCTCCTCCACTCGCATGATTTTCTAAATTAAACAAGTCGAATTATCAAAACCAAATTACTATCCAATCTTTTATCTATATCAATGTAATGATTCTATTAGTCCAACGCAAAACGTTAAGTGATTGCTAAATGAAGAACAAGAGAGTCTCTCCGAAACTAGAGAGACAAAAGATTATGTATATTAAGTTAACAAAGCATATAACTTTTTTTTTTTGAATGAATCTTAAATTTATTCAAGCAAATATTTTTGTAGAATAAATGTGTTTTTTGCTGAATATCTAAAAGAAACAAAAATTTAATCAGATGATAGATATGAGCTACAATCGGGCCAAGAACCACAACTCCATAGCGTCCGCATATGCGTATTCTCTGGTTCGGATCGAGTTGATTCGATTCTTCACGTTGTTACTTCAACGAAGCATACAACTTCAATAAAATATGTATTGTTGTTGTTGGTGATATCATGCCCGGCCCTGATGGTATGCACAGAGCCCCACTTTTTTGGTTAATTTTTTTTTATAATATAGCCCTTAATTATTACAAAATTCGTAAAAAAGGTTTGTATTTTTGTAAAATTCATAAGAAAGGCCCTATATTTTAAAAATATAACATATAACTGTCTCAAATTTATTTTTTGGCACACGGCCCTTATAGCAAATGGGTCGGGCCTGTGTGATATAGCTAAGTTTTTAATTAATTAGTGTTGTCATCAGTTGATTAGTTTTTGTGATATTTACCTATGCACATGGTTATATTATATTTGGCGTAATATTACAGTGAAATATTATAGCCTGGTGCTTTAAATTCAGATACGCAGTCCAAAGGTTGAGAGTTTGTTTCCATGGGTGTGCATTAACTTAGTTTTTTTGCTATATTCAATTAAATGGTAACAGAAGACTCTTTTGCTCTCATCTTCTTCTTGTAATCATACTTAAAGCCCTAGCCGCCGCTCTCTGATTTTTTTTTTTTACAACTTCCTTCATTTTTTCTTGCTTTTCTTATTGTTTTATTGCATACATCACAGATCCATCACATAATAATCGATCCACAAATAGAATCCAAGAGAAAATTGCAGTTTTTCGAAACCATCCGATTTTTTTGCCGAGTAGGTTGTAATCCCAGCGGCCGACAACCGCCGAGCGCTTCCACGCCATGGAAGTGGCCGCCTAGAACGTGTTTTCGAACATGGGTTAATACTCAAATTACTAGAATCACCCGAGCCTCTTTCCGACTCTTACCACTTTGGATGTGTATAAGGAGTAATTAGTTTGTCTCTCGAACTTTAAGTTTCTATATATTCTTCATCCGTAATTTTTTGTCTTGTTATTTTACATAATTTTTGGAATAATATTATTTAACTTTTATATAACTATCAATTATTTTATATAACTATCAAATTCCATCATTTCTTCATAGTTTTTCATTCCGTTATTTGAAATAGACATGCCTATTGTATATCATTAAGAGGGAACTTTTATCATGATTGTTTGCATGGTATGGGTGTTGTATGTGGAAAGCTTGAGTTGTAAAACAAAGTTAAAAAGGGAGAGAATGAAAATGCAGAGCATCTCGAAACAAGAAGCGGATTGTTGGAACAAACTCAGAATGAGTCGGTTAATGCTGACGTAACGCGTGGAATTGAGATAAATATCAAAAAGATATTTGGAGAGTTTAAATCATAAAAGACGTGCAATTGAAGAAAATTTTAGAGAAGTTTTATTTTAGGTTATTTTAGAGAAGATTTATTTTAGGATATTCGATATTTTCTTTTTTGTATATAGGTTAATTTAGGGTGACACTTCATAGGTATACATGTATATACAAAGGAGGCGTTTACCCCTAGAGTTAGCCGTAATTATAGAGAGGAAAATGTTTGTCTTGTTTCGGTGTTTTTTAGATAAGTCGAGTTGCTTGTCGGAACACAAGTTTTGTTTGTATTCAAACAATGTTTTGTTCTAAAATTGTATGTAAGATTAGGATCATTTGGTCACAAGCTAAAAGTGTTTTAGGCTGTGTATAAATGAAAATTGAAATGTTGTAAACATCTTAAAATTTTCTAATAAGATTTATATTCCGTATATTATCCTTTTCCATCTGAATTATATTTATTATCAAAAAGACTTGTAGTAACTACAAAAGCTGGCGGCTAAACTAGAAACGTTGATCAACTAGGACATAAATAAAGCATTGGATCCCGGAGAGTTAGTCGACGGATCACCAAATCTTCTGAGCTTAAGCCGAAGGAATACAAAATCTTTATCTAAACCATGCGAAAGGGAGACAAGGATTTTTCCAAACCACAATCAAAATATAAGACTAATGAGAACGCAGTCCGTGAATAATAGATAATCAGCCTAATGAAAACCACCTCGCCATAAAATACTACCTAAATCATGCAGGAACACTCACGGAAACATCTCGAAAGGGCTTAAAAACCCAACAAACGATAAGTGGTTCTATCTACAACGAATAAGTCTACCATACTAAAATAGGAACCCTAGAAAACTAATCCGGTAAGATGGAGAAAACTAGAAAAGAGTGGATCTTCACACAAAACTTCCGAAAACGATGATGCAGGACAAACCCAACTTAACGAAACCTAAGTAAAAATTCTTTGAACAAACCAATTGTGTCTATGCCTTACTTTTTCACCAGAGTGTAGCTTTTGTAAGATTACAGAAAACGGGCCTCTAAGAAAAAGTGGGCTTTTTAATGTTTCTTTTGAACACTTTTGTTTTTTCTTTGGGTCCATCTTCCTTTTTTGGTAAAACGCTTAATTCAGATACCCTCAGATATTCTTTCCAGAGTTTTCTTCTTCAGAGAGGTATTATCCAGAGCTCCGATCAACGACAATGGCTTCCACCACCACCAACTTCCTCACTCTTCGCTCTTCAATTCTCATAAACCCTAGATTACCTCTCAATCTCCGTCCTTTTAACCCTTCTCTTCATCTCTCTCTTCCCTCTAAACCCTCCTTCAGTCTCTCCTTCAACAACAACCCTAGAAGAACCATCGTCTCCGCCGTCACCTCTCCGTCTCCGGTACTCTCCACAAAACCCACTTCTCAATTTCCCTTCTCCGACTCAACCAGATCAATCTCAACCCTCGCGCTTCTCTCCGGGCTCGTAACCAAAACCCTGATTCAGAAACTCGTAAATCTAACCCCACAGATTCAATCCTCCTTCCGATTCGCCGGTCCCTTGTTCTTCGCGTCGATTCGTGACCGTCCTGCTGGTTATCTAAACACACCATTGACAGTAGTTGCAGCTGGGCTAGCCAAATGGCTTGATATCTACAGTGGTGTGTTGATGGTTCGAGTTTTACTTAGTTGGTTCCCGAACATTCCATGGGATAGACAACCTTTGTCTGCGATTAGAGATTTGTGTGATCCTTATCTCAATCTCTTCAGGAACATCATACCTCCGGTCTTTGATACGCTTGACGTTAGCCCTTTACTTGCTTTTGCTGTTTTGGGAACTTTGGGTTCGATTCTGAACAATAGCAGAGGATAGTTGAAGGATTTACTACTACTCTGCTTTTGAGTGAATGATGCAGAAAGAAAGCTTATGGATCTTATCAGGTTTTGATCTTTTATGTTTGATCTCTTTTGGTACTTTATATTGTTTATTTATATAGCATTTGGGGTTAATGATGTATTGGACTCGAAAAGTTTCAGTATCAGAATATCAGTTGTGTTGTGTTCTGTATTGTCTATGGAAATGCATGAATTTGGTTTCAATGATGGGATTTGTTGTTTCAGTTCGTATTGACAGGTGAAGTTTTTATAAACGTAGTAGATAATTTGAGTGAATCCTTGGTCCATATATCAGGTTTTATGCTAGTCGTGAAGCTCGGTTTCGACGTGAAACCAAAGTTTTTTCTTCTTGCGGTATTCGTAGTGTATTTCACTTTGAAACACGAGGACCTATATCTTGGTGATGTTGAAGATTGAATGGCTGGGGAATTAAAAAGGTTTATGCTTTAGAATCTATTTGTCTTAGCATCGTCTAAATGACCTTAGCATCCGCAACCTCTAAGCTCGTAAGTGAAATTCGCCATCTTTTGGGTGTCTCTGATGAGCATGCATATCCTAGATAAGGACCTTCCTTTAATTTCCAGGTCTAGGTGATGTTGTTAGTGGAATTCTATTGTGTGGGTGGGGATTTCATAACTTTAGAACTCGTCGATCACGGATCTGGGGAGAGAATATGCATCAACATTGATTTTACATGATAAAAGCTCAAATCAGGATGTAAATACTTGATTTGAATAGCAGAAACTTTTGCTACACTTGCATCATGTAATTTGACACATCTACAGTACGTACACGAGCCTGCTAATTTATTGTTGTTAACCTCCCAAAACCTTTTGTACATCAAAAGAGCATGGTTCCATAATTTTGGATCTACTGGCTTGAATGGAAATTTTTTTGGTAGTGAAGATGTCGAGATGCAGTTTCATGCTCACTGGTCTGTGTATGGCTGCTGATATTGCTCATGATTCTGTTGTGGAGCCACTGTTTTGTGGTGTGAGTAGAGATGGAATGTCTCTGATTTGAAACCCATTGCCCCAGAAGGAGGCAAGGCATAGTCCCATGATGGGTATCATGACCTCCGAGCAAGCTGGTGGGACGGCTTGGCTGCTTCCTAGGAACTGGGTCGCGAGGAGGCCCGCTAAAGTCCAATTCTGCATTCCTGTGCATAGCGATATCACCCTGCTAACTTTTTCCTTTTGTCTGGTAAAGAAATAAGGAATTTTGATTATGTCAATCATTAGTTTACCCATAAAAAATGATGGAGTTACCTGAGGGCAGGGATCTTAGAAAACCAATAACCCAACGCAAAAGCCACAGCGTTAAATGTCACAATCGGGAGTAACAAACCAAGACCGTCTGCTGAAAGAATCCGACTTTGATTAATTGAAAGTAGGTTTCCAATGCACAGAGAAGTGCATACCATAGCAAGAAATGGCATCACTGGTCGGAGAAGGCTGACCACAAGCTTTGCATAAGTATTTAGGACTAGTCCAAGAGTCACAGGGACAAGCACAACCTACAAATGATCTAACCAATTAAATACTGAAGAGGATTGTGACCTGATATAGAAGAAACTTATATAACCTGTAATATGGATTTCGACATGGCGATTGCATCAACAGGAATGACAGATCCAATGAGAAGACGGCTAAGCAAAGGGGTAAAGATTACAGAGGCAACAGTAGTAAAGCTAGTGAGAAGAATGCTCAAGGCAACATCTCCTTTGCTCAATAAGCTCGCGTAGCTAGACAATTGAGCTCCAGCCACACAAGATGTGAGGAGTAGAACATTGGAGATATCCCGAAAGCATTTGCAACTAAACCCCGAGGAGTAGTTTGAGAACGTACTGAGCAAGAAACCCAACAGAAACAGGCAATGGTCGACAAGACATAAAAATTTGTTGTTGTTAGCTTTTGATTGCAAGAGCAAAATCGTTAACTGACAGCTGGATAACATTATCCGCCCAAGAGCAGGAGCATATAATTCTTTAGACACCCTGAAAAGTTGAAAACAAATGGCATTTTTATATCCCAACAATGTTCATAATTCGAATCGAATTCTGGTCTTGTCTAAACTATAAACTCGGTACCAGGTGAAAGTAGATGGGTAAGAAAGAGAGGCCAAGGCGGTAAGAGTTACGACAAAAGGAAGCAAAGCAGACAAAAACTGAGACAACGTCTTTGTTTTGGCCATAACTCCGGTGTCTCCGACATACGATAAAAAGGAAATGTTTCCATGTCTCCACTGCATTCCTATTTTTCCGGTTGGGAAGGCCACAGCATCATTTGACCCGCTGCTTCTTCGCAGTACACTGAAAACACTAAACGAAGATGTTTGGAACGAACGAGAATGTCGCCCGATACTAGCCAATTTAGCGGGAAGAAATGGTGAGAAAGACATAACTACGATATATTATACAATTTATTTTATAACTAAGTTTATCAAATATTAGTGATATAGAATGCGAGTATTTACGGGTCGGGTAGCAAATCGAGTACGAGGACGGGTAACGAGACGGATAGTGAAAAAATAAATAATACCTTTTACTCGACCCTTACCAGCGGGTATCAAAATTATAGTATCCTTTACCCGATCCGAGCGTTACAGGTACCCTATTTTTCGAGACGGGTTCGAACCGGGTAACGGGTAAAGGACGAGTAACGGGTATCTGTGCCCAGCCCTACTACACCTCTTCTATAACAGCTCATTAATAATTGAACTCTCAAAACTCGTGTCTTAAATACGAAAACGAATTACATTTATTTTTGGATATCTATAGTATGCACGCATATATTACTCAATCCCCGCTATCCCTTGATTGCGAGTGTTTCTTTCTTTTTCTTGTTTAACGGTATTTATAATTTCTAGATAACCATACTGTTTCGGGCTTTGTTTCTTCGTAAACTATTGGATATGTTCCCCATAAAATCTTCAGACTATGCTCCCAATAAACTTTTGGGCTATGTAACTCTATTTGGTTTTTGTACATTCCATAAATGCTTTGGTGGATATTTAAATTGGTTTTTAAGTCTACGAGAATGGTGTTCACATCTGAATTCAAATTTACTTTTAACATCCGAATTACACAACATAAGGTATGTTTGAAAAAGTTTTGAAGTATGGGACAGTTAAGAAAAACCATTTTAGTGACTCTAATTTGAAAAATAGAATAGTATTTCCAAAGAGGATGGTAATTAATACGTTCATAAAGCTTTGGAAGTTGGTGGGTAAAATTGTCTGAACTTGCATTTTTTTTTTTTTGCTAAAAAACTTGCATGTTAAAGTGCAAAATGTCAAAGTAGATACCAACGACAGAGGAACATGCCACGAGTACCAGCTTAGAATAGCCAGTTACATGGTTTCTTTTGACCAGAATAACGTTTTAAATTTTTGAAAACATTATGGCACTAACTGGTAACTCATTAATGTGTAGAATTTGAAGAATTTATATAATTTATAGAATATTGTCACCAGTTATCGTTGAAGAATTTAATAGAATTTGTAGAATTCTACAAAGTTGAAGAATTTGAATAATTGATATAATTGGTTCAATAATCACTAACGGACAAAAATGAAAGAATTTGTGAAGAAAAGTTGGACAAGTGGGAAACGTTCACGTGAATAAAGAAACATTTTTCATAATTGAAAGAAAACATTCACGGGAAACATTCACGTGAATAAGCAAGCCATTAGGTTATAAAATCAGATTGAGCGAAACAAACACATTCATGCTCTGGTGAAG